TAAAATTATATTAATTAAAAAAAAAAAAAAAACTTTTTTAGATTGGAGTTTGTGTGTGATCTATGAGCTGCTTTTTGCAGGTAGGATTTAGGATCATCCTGTAATTGTCCTGTTTCAAAACACACTCGCTCCTCCAGCATGGATAATGTTCTCTAGACTAAGACTAATCTTATTACTCTGTTGTTTATCTGTGTTTTTACAGACGGGGCGCATTGATAAATCCTACCCCACAGTGTGTGGTCACACAGGCCCGGTGTTGGACATTGACTGGTGCCCCCACAATGACCAGGTCATTGCCAGCGGCTCAGAGGACTGCACCGTGATGGTAAGGCTCGCCTCACCCATTACACCCAAACTCAAACCTCCTCGGGTCAACAGGAGCATACATTCTTTAGATCATAAGAGGCAAGAGGCTACATGCTCTTATTGCGAAAGGCAAGGCTGCGGTTACTCATGAATGGTTGCAGGCCTCACCCTCTGGATTAGATTAAGCTCAAATATGTGTTGTAGGAATCAGAGCTGGGGAATGATTTAGCTATTTATTGAGCTGAGGTCACTGACTTTTTTCAGGCTGCTGTTTTACTTTTCTCCATATGTCCTTATTTGGTATATAATAGGCTGGGATAGGCTTTCAGCCTGCTTAGATGGCAGCCACTTCCTCACCTGAAAGGCCTGACTTCCTGTTAATCCCATGCTAAATCAAGGCAGTATTTATTTGGTTTGTTTTGCAGAAGTGTGAGCCATGAAGAGAGGAACTATTGCTGGTTCCTCTCTTCATATCATAGAACATGTGACGGTAAATTTCACAACCTAAACAGACTCAGTGATGTTTAGTTTAGATTTGGTAAGAGTGGGTTGGCTGGTGTACACAGCAGGCCTGTAACGTAGGACTATAGCGTAGGCAGGGCATAAAACATTTATTGTAGATTAAGAATAGATTTTGTTATCACAGAGTACACACTGGACTTCAACGAAGCTAATTTAATGTTAAAATGTGCTGGAGTGGCCTTTATTTTCTTTTTAAAAGGCTGCATTAAACGTACCCATTCTATTCCTCTGAAAGGACAACCTTTACAGGATGCCTGTGCCAGGCACCGAGCACTAAAGAATGTAAGGAAAAAATTTAACCTCAAATTCTTTTCATGCAGCAGTGTTATGACAAAGTAGATCAGATGAATCAACGTAATCATGTTATAAATAGTGTTAGTGAATAGTAACCAATCAGTACTTGACATCCTGAAGTCTTAAATAGCTGGTTTTGAGGTGGGGTAATAATGTTGCATTTTTCTGCATATCTCTTAAAATTTGAGTTGGGTTTGGCACTGCTGAAGGTCCCGGCTTTCAACCCATCTGGTTTTGAACATGTGAAGTTTCCATGTTCTTCCTGGGTTTGTGTGGGTTTCCTTTGGTCGGTGTTATTTCTCCTGAGACCAAAAACATGTTAGCTTAATTCTCTCGTCATTGTTCCCTAAACAATGGCAATGGGTTACATCTGGAGTTAGTTCCCTATGCTCTACAGTGGCTAGCCACTGCTCCTGATAACTCCAGGTGTTGTGCCAGAAAGTGATCTTCTGCCAGAAAGTGATTGCCACCTGCAGGAGTGCGCGCAGCTACTTAAAGCTGTAGCGCCCAGATTACTTACATAGACAGCTACTTCCATGCAACTGATACAAGGTGCGGTAAGCTGAAGACAGCTTCAACCGTCTGTTTGTTGAACAATAGTAATGCGACTGCACCACATTTTCTTGTTAGTAACGGCGTTGTAACAATAGAAATAGTAATTAGTTAGATTACTTGTTACTGAAAAAAGTAACGCAGTTAGTAATGCAGATACTTGTAACGCCGTTATTCCCATCATTGTTCATGAGTTTCCTGTGTAACTGTATTTTGCTAAGTCTAACTGTGTGTATCAGTCAATAAGGAACATGCTGTGAATTCTTAGTGATTGCTGCCCCCCTCTGGTTCCTTTTTGTAATTACAGTTTAGATCCAGTAATCATTTTAATTGCTAGACTGTGTTTAGCATAATAATCATGAAATCCTTTAGAATAATTTTTTTTTTCATACTTCAGAGAATTTTTACTGTCTGCTCTCAGTTTCTGACTTCCTGGTCTCTTTACAGGTGTGGCAGATTCCGGAGAATGGCCTAGTCACTTCCATGTCTGAGCCAGTGGTGGTATTGGAGGGCCACTCCAAGCGTGTGGGCATCATCACATGGCATCCAACAGCACGAAACATCCTCCTTAGTGCAGGTAAGAGCTCTGGCAGTGTTTCCAAATCTATAAAACAATGCTGCCTTCAAAACTTGATGATCAGATTGAGCACAAACCTCACCATTACCTTTATCTGTCACCAGGTTGTGATAACCAGATAATCATCTGGAATGTGGGCACCGGTGAGGCCATGATCAACCTGGAGGACATGCATCCTGATGTCATTTACAATGTGTGCTGGAACCGCAATGGAAGCCTTATCTGCACTGCCTGCAAGGACAAGTCCATCCGTGTTATTGACCCCCGCAAGCAGGAGATTGTTGGAGTAAGTAGTTTGCAAATAAATTATCATATTTTCTGTTTTTATATTGAACTGTATCTGAAGTATTTAAAAGGTAAATATGAATTCAGGTGCAGGGATTTTTCGATTTGGAAGCAGAGAGACTAGTAAGCCCCAGTATGGTAACATTGTTCCCTTAAAATTGTTGTTAGCTGTGAGTCTGAATTATGACTGCATAAGCTTACCAGTTTTAGTTTGGATTCAGACCAAGGACTGTCATGGGAAACTGTAATTTGCTACCAAGGTGTTGTAAAAATTTACACAATGTGCCTTGGCTGCTGTAAGCACCTGAGAAAATAGGGCAGTAACAGCACCTAAAGTTTAATAACAAGTACAGATGCATTCAAATTTTGCTGTGAATGTCGGAGGGGAAAAAGGACAGAGTGCAGCCAGCATTGCATTTGAGTTAGTTTATCAGGTTAATGATATAACATAGACCACCAAAAACCAGAATGCAAGAAGTGATGGAAAGTGGTTTGTTTTTGTTAAATAAGAGGTTATGTTTAAATGCGTTAACTTGATTGATAGTGTTGTAGAATTAAAGTGGTGTTTGCTTGTATCATCGTCAGCCTCTTCGATTTCTGGTATTGTGACATCCCTGTTGATGCTGGGTCAGGCTTCCCTTTGATCTCACAGCAGTTTCAGTTCTTTGTGGCATGGATTGGGCAAGATGCTGAAATCCTCCCTTTGAGATTGTGCTCCAGTGTTGACATGATTGCATTACGTCATTCTGACAGCTTCTGATTTAATGCTTTGATTTTCCTGTTCTGTACATTCCAAACATGCTCTGTTGGAATCATACAAAATCTTTCCTTGTCCCTAAAAGCCAAGGATTCATCCTGGGATTTGTAGATTCATGGAGTTTATAACCAAAGCCTGAGCCTTCCTTGGCAGAACTAAAACTGAGAAACATCACACCAAACCATGTTTTTCCAATCTTCAGCTGCTCACATCGAATCAGTGCAGAACTGTGCTTAGTGGAGTTTTGTTTAAGCTGTTCTGATGAAACTTTGGAGGCTGTTGTGGTGAAAATCCCATCAGCATCAGAAATGCTGAATATTTCTGATACATTCATGCCACATTTAAAATCACCCATGCCAGAAATTTCCTTTCATAAAACATCAAAAATCTTCATTCAGACTTGTGTTCTGCGTATTATTTCACTTCTGCCTGATGGTTGTCTGATTAAATGATCACACCAGTAAGCAGGTTTATGAGTGTTCCTACCTCTGACCTCAGCAGAAACAAACATGATGAACTGCAGATAAGGCAGTAACACGGACTCGCAGGGCTAACCATTAACCTCTATTTCACAGGAGAAAGAGAAGGCCCACGAGGGCGCTCGCCCCATGAGGGCCATTTTCCTTAGTGATGGAAACATCCTCACCACTGGCTTCAGTCGCATGAGTGAGAGGCAGCTGGCTCTCTGGAATACGGTAAGCTGCTTCACAATAACTAATGATGAAATGCAGAGTGGTGTATGAACACAATGTGAGTGGGTGAAGAAGAAATGCTCAGTGCATCATGGGAATCCCCCATTCGCATGATTAAGGGAGGGTTCAGGGTCACCCGATCACTATAAGGTTTGTTACTGATCATTGCTGTTGTAATGATAAACTTGTGTGAGTTATAAGGGCTTCAGAGTCGATTAAAGATCTATTTGCACACCTGTAGCACTTCAGTTTGCCTCATTATGGACTTGGTATGTAAAGCTGTGTTTTAATGTTTTTGTATTGCCTCAAATTAATCTTTCTTCTGTTTTTGTTTTAAGCAAAACTTGGAGGAGCCAATGACTGTCAATGAGATGGACACCAGCAATGGAGTGCTTCTGCCCTTCTATGACCCAGACACCAACGTCGTTTACCTCTGTGGAAAGGTGCGTTTCCTTCTAAGCACCCAATAATCAAATCAAGCATTGTTCTAACACAAAGCTTAATGTCTCAATTAAAATTTGCACACATTAGAAATAAAACACTTGTTTATATCCTGATAGGGAGACAGCAGCATCCGTTACTTTGAAATCACAGACGAGGCTCCTTATGTTCACTTCCTGAACACCTTTGCCAGCAAGGAGCCCCAGAGGGGTATGGGCTACATGCCAAAGAGGGGCCTCGATGTCAATAAGTGTGAAATTGCAAGGTAACCCAAGACTGGTCCTAAATCATCATCTCTGAAACCAGAAATCGTTTTGATTTTATTCCATCATCTCTAATGTGGAGTTCATTGATTGACCACTAGGAGGCATACTGCAACCGCAATACAATAATCCACAGGAAACTGCTGCTGTTTTTATTGTGTAATGATGTATTGAACTGTGAGTAACACCAGACTTTTTATGTTGCAGGTTCTATAAACTGCATGAAAGAAAGTGTGAGCCTATTGTGATGACTGTGCCTAGAAAGGTTAGTACTCGCCCAAACATGCTACTTTGCAGCATCTTTTAGACCTCTAATGTACTCTTTAAATCACAAGCACCACATTCACAAGTTCTCTTTTCCTCACAACTTATTGCTCTATTCTCTCCCGTCAGTCGGACCTGTTCCAGGACGACTTGTACCCAGACACAGCTGGTCCAGATCCTGCTTTGGAGGCTGAGGAGTGGTTTGATGGTAAGAATGGAGACCCCATTCTCATCTCTCTGAAGAATGGCTACGTCCCGGGCAAGAACCGTGAATTCAAAGTGGTCAAAAAGAACATGTTGGACAACAAGGTCACCAAGAACTCAGAGAAGTCGAGCTCTTCCAACAAGTCCTCCCACCCAGCTCCATCAATTGTGAGTGTTTGCTTTCATCAGTGTGTCCAGTTAAAACCGGTTTAACAGTACGTTGTCACTCAGTCTCAGACGTGTAGTGTTAAGGAGTAAGGTTGTTTTTTTAACAGTTGTTTATTTTGCATGATTAGATTAAACAGCAGATTGAGACCCCTTATTTCACAGTCTTACACTGTATATGTTGAGGTCCCTGCATGTAGGTCATGCTATGCCACTGTCTCATCTCCTTGCAGGTGGCTGTCTGGGACTCCTAGCGTTACATTTTTTTTTATTAGTCATGGCAGATTGCTGCCAAACTTAGATGAGGTGGTTTGTAAATGTTACTCGTCCCACTCTGCCCCACAGAGGGAGAGGTCTTCTGCTGCTCTGGGCGCCTGCTCCTGGGCGTCCAGCAGCACCTCACCCACAACACAGCCTTGGTCCCAGCCCATGTGTCTCTGTGAAGGTCTGCTCTGTAATCATAGCCCACTGGGCTCCAGTGGTGTTGAAAGATGTTAACCCTCAGACTGCCAGATCCTACCACACTTGATTTAAAACTCAGAAAAATATTGGGTGAAACAGCTTGGGATGTTGTCCCAAAGGGCCTTACATGTAGCACAGATCAGAGAGTAGTCTACTTTAAGGTCATTCCTGCTAGGGGAAATGAAGCTTTTGGTTTAATGACACTTGAATTAAAGCTGTTAGATTATGACAAAAAAAAAAAGAAAGAAAATTAATAACCAGCAATTTTGGTCTGTGTAGATCAAGATTAACATTTTAACTTGAGCAGTAAATAATGGATTCGTCAAACTTTAATAATGAAGAAACTTGTCTCTTTAAGTAAATTGATTTTTTTGATCTTAAGGTAAAAGTTGAATTTAAATAAACTAAACCTGCCACAATCTGTTAGGGAGTGGATTTAACTAGACTCTCACTACTTGTGAATCCATCTTTCTATGATCTGCCCTATTCATGGGTGCAGTCATTAAGTTCAGTGTGTGCAAAACCAGCTTAAAATTCCTAGAAGTGTCTTTGACCCACGGGTTTCAAGGTGTACTACTAAGGGACCCACCTTAGGTTTACCTCATTTTAAAAGTGACTGTAGCTGTATTTTCATAAAGATGGTTAAAAGCCCATCAAGTCTCACTTTTGTTTTCTCGTATCTCTCACAGAAATCTGAAGCCAAGCTGGAGGAGATCTTGAAAGAAATCAAGTCCCTCAAGGACATGATCAGCAGTCAAGAAAAGCGAATCGTCCAACTTGAAGAGCAGATGTCCAAACTTGCCATTTAAGGACCCTTTTGCCCAACCCGCTACAATTCAGGACGCTCCACTGGCTGGGGGTGGGGGTGGGCGGGAACACTCACTGCCTATCTCAATGACAGTGTTTCGTCTGCCTAGCAAAGATCCCTAGCAACATTCCAGATGAACTTTTTCTTAGCCAGCTCCCAACCCTCAGTTTAAAACAGGTGGAATAAGAAGAACATGTGGCAGATTTAGTAGAAAATACTTTCTTTTTGGTGGCAAAGGACTATTCCTTTTATTCTGTGGCAGTCTTTTTTTTTTTAATTGTGTCTACTTGTATAAAAAGATCTTACATAATTCTTTGCATTTTAGAATAATGATCAAGAAAACCATGTCAACAGCCCCCACCCCCAATTTATCATGGTATAGCATCATGTTTTATAAGTAGGCCTCAGTGTTTGGTGTTTGCCCTTCTCCAAAATTAACACATTGCCAAATCTGGACTTTTGTTTACACTTCCTTAACAGTATTTTTTTAAAGTACAGAAAGAAAATCAGTGATGCACTATGAAATTAAAATTATTTAATTGGATGGTTCTGAAAGAGAGACTGACAGATTAAATTTGTAGTTAAAAGAAAATACATTGCAGGTTGCCACAGCTGACACCAAACACTCAGACACAACCTTAAGTGACTAATTCTTGCTGTCAGAAATCCACACTTTGCCTCTGCTGTTTCCTTTCATTCCTGTCGCTTTTCCATCATTCCGACTGTGGACGTAATAGTCCAAGTAAACATGCATTCCTTTCTACCTTGCTTTACCAACATGCACTCTGCACTTATTCAAGAAAGTGACACATTCCACAATTCCTATTGGCTGTTCTTGGTATGAGGGGAAAAACACACTCACTGCGGTGACTCAGTTGCACTGCTTGGTTGTTGGGATTCTTTATGTGGTGCCCATGGAAAGACGAGCTTTTGCATTTTCATTCTTTCTGCGAGGAAAAACTCCAACCCGATTGTTTGGTTATCCATGTGTTTTCTCAGCACATCACTGTAGTCAAGTGCAGTGGGCTTATTTTTTTGTCACTGCTCTTTTGTTTGCTTTGCCATCTGATGTCTGCGTTTTCTGTACAAGCACAAAAGACAGTTTTCTAAAATGACATCAAATAATCCTGCAGCTACTTGACTGCTTTTAACCATGTGATGTTAAAGCTGGCTAGACCTCAAAGGCCTAATCTGGGTCCTCATGTCTCTGGCCTTTTAGGTACCAGCCACTGTAGACTTTCCACTACAGAGTTTTCCTTTTAATTCAGAAGAAGTAAGTAGTTGGGTTATTGCTTCAATGTTCAATTAAATCCTGTTTCTTGTTCCAGCTGTTTCTACATCCCTCTTAGCACTTCCACATCTTGGCTATTTCTCAGATGCTCCAATTTAGTGCAGTCAAATTTGAAAATTGATCATATTTTTCAACCTGAGTTGTTTTTTGTTTTTGTTTTTTGTTTTTTAAAGATTGTTTCCCTGTGGGAAGCTGAGACGGGTAATGGTTCAATTTGTTGTTTGCCTTTAATAAATGTTACCACTGTAAAGACCTGAAAGTGCCATAGAGGTGACCCTGGAAGTGTTTTATTTAGTTTTGGTTTCTTTGTAGGTCGACTGTTCTGTGAGTAGTTTTGTGGAATAAATGGAGGCGAGGTGCCTGGAGTTTAAACCCACTTTGAGGTGCTATACTCAGTACAAAATTCAAAGGACTCGGTTTCTTACGTACTGTGTGACATCATGAAGTCCTGCCAGTCCATAATAAAGTTCACCAGGCAGCATTACTTTGTCAGGGTTTGTCAAACACATTGTGCCCCTGACGCTGTGACACTTTCCTCTGGGGTACAAGCTTAAAATGTAAAATGATGTAAAACCAGGAATCTGTTAGCTGAGTCATCAATAATCTGAGAATGTTAGTGACAGGAAGTGTACAGTGTGATGCATGTTTGGCTGACACTGGTCATACTGCCATATCTTTTATATGAGACTGCCACTCTCTGGGTTAGCACTGTTGGCACAAGAGCGGAGTTTTGAGGAGTAGTAGCTTATAGAGATCCAAAGGGACACTGTAGGTGGAAAAATAAAAAATGTGTTGAAAGATAGATGTATGTTTGTAATTGAGGTCTAGAAAACGAGTGAGAACTGTGTAAATAACGTGACCATATATCTGTATTTTTTCCCCCTCCCCATTTCTTTTGTTTTGCGGATGTGCTGAAGAGGGTATTTGTGTGGGAGGTGGATTTTTAAACATTTTTAAACATAAACGTTTGTTCCTTGCACCTTGCCATCATGAGAAAAGCAGAACCTCTGTTACGTCGGAGGTTATCAAGAAAGAAAATCTGATGAAAAATGAACCAGGATGAAAGCCTCGTGTGGAGGTCTGCTCAGCATTTTT